AAAGTCTAAGTTTTAAACTGGCGTTTGCGCCCCAACCTAGAAAACACATTGTTTCAACGTTATTTTTTCTTTTAATCCAAATTCTTCACGTCAGTCACGCGATTTCCCGAATCGCCGACTATTAAAATGTTTTGTATCTTTCTGACACGATGGAATTGTGTTATGGTAAATATAATTTCACACTTTAGGATTATGACACATTCGTGCAAAACTTGACGCGTTTTGTGGAACATAAGTGATCACCGACAGGGATATGATTACACTGGAATGTTGTAAGCCACTGGATATCCCGTGGAGATGTAGGACTAAAAGTTCTACATCTCCACGGGATCCCAGGTCTGTTTTTTGGTTGCTAAGAACGTCTGGCTCGTTATGATCACCTTAAATCAGTGTTATTCATTTTCCTCGTTGTCGAAATATGAGGGAAATTGCATGTATATGTACATTTTACCGAACCAAAATTCACAATTAGCCAATCAGAAGCCTTGTCTACTGTCCTGATATCCCATCGATATCAAGTCACTGACCTGATATGGCTACGATATCGTGCTCACGTGGTCAAATTTGGGTACAGTAAATACCTAATCGTACCTTTTCGGTACGCTTTGGAGGCAAATCAGTCTCGTTTGGTCTCGTATTTTAACGAGACGCATGAGTATTTTGGTTCGACAACGTCTCGTTAACCACGGGTCATAGCTCGACCAAACTCTCCCAATTTTCCGCCGAAGCGTACCAAAGAGGTACAATTAGTTATAAGTAGCCCTCTTTATAGTTTTGTTTACATAGATATCATCGATGTGTAGCCAATAAGAAGTCTTTATTGATTAATCATTGTTACTAATAGGACTATTACAGAAGTGGCAGAATGTTGGTAAAAATGGCGGAGGCGATTGGTCGGCTCGTGTTGGCAGGAAGAGAGTTAACTCGACTCGCAGGGTAAGTGTACAAAAGGAACCAATTGAAAGTTTTTGTTTTAGGCCCATCTACCAGTAAACAAATGTTACTTCCGATTATGAGCCCCTCCTCCTCTAATTAAATACCAATATGTGAAAAACGTCTTGCGAACGTTTCGAAACATTTTACATTCCCTCTCCTGGATGTAAGCCCCTTTATAAGCCCCTTTATAAGCCTATCCAAAACCCCTTACGAAGTTGTATAAAACCACGGCTTATAAGGGGCAGTTTATGTTAGCTAATTAAAGCAAGTTTGGACGCAAACCTTACACACTAAGGATCCAAATCACCAGCAGTGCTATGCAGGAGTCAGCCAGTTACTCCAATTCCTACCTTGATCAAGTTGTACTACCTACATGTACAATTCTGTTTTTGCTTTGCCGTTTAGGTACACTTCCAGAGTATCTGAACTAATGAATGTATTAAGAGACCTCAATAAAGGCAAATATCAGCGAACAATGATTTCAAGTCAGTCAAGAGGAGACAATGCAACGCAAGGTACAAAATAAAGAAATATCCATCGTGACATGTCCGCTTACTTAAGGGGTTACAGTGTATTATTTAGCTTCAAATGGCGTTATATAATGTTACACGTTAGTCTTAGATGATTCTGGTACATTCTTCAAACTGGTATTAGGAACGAAAGCGGGACATTTAAGAGTCGTTGATGGCGTATCTTTATTCGTATTCCTATTAATTTTTCCAGTCTGTTTCATTTTGGGTTTTATCACCCTCAAGAGTTACTCTGTTTGGTTTATTAGACTAGTAAATTGTAAAAATAATGCTGCCTTTGGGGGTTGTGTGGTCCCTTTCTGTGTGAAATCCGATGCACTTAGAATTTTACATCACGTGTTCAAGGTGATTGTGTTATTTTTCTTTCAGACAAGATTCCCAAAGACCCGTTGGTTCCCAATCAAGGGGAAATAATCGAAACTGATCACCTAATCAGGTAATGAACAAGTACAGTAAATACACCGTTTTCATTGCGATAAAACAAGGCCTGACCTGTTCAGTTAAGCGTGATGTTTTTGTAATGGGCTTACAGTATCAACAGAGACTGCGTGCAGTGATGTGTTAAGGTGTATTGGCTTTTAATAAAAGGTTGCCCCTCATTCTTGTGTTGGTTTCGTTTTAGATTTGAACATGTTCCGTTGGTTACACCAAATGGGGATGTTCTTGTGAATGACCTTTCGTTTGAGGTAAATAATTTATTGGTGGCTTTTGACTGACAATTGACAGCTTTTGTTTCGTTTTTGACAGAGCAGTTTTCAGTTTGTTAAAACCAAACCTAAGGCCGCGTCCTCACTACGCGGGAGGAATTTGAAAACGCACCAACCACCGTTCATTTTGAATTTGTGTTTGAGGAAAACTCGGCCAGGGAAATCCCACAATCATCGTGACATCACCGTTTTTGAAAAGCTCCGTTTTCTTATTTTTCCGTACGCGCTAAAACGCAAAGCCGGCGTTTTAAAATTTCTTCGGGTTGAAGATCGTTTGCGAAAAGCTCCGTTTTCTAGACAGATTAGTGTGGACGGTAGTCTTAAACGTGAAAACAAAGCTGCGTTTTCCTTCTCCGGCGCAGTGTGTACTGGGCCTAAAGTAATCACTTTGGCCAATCAAAAAGGACTTAGACAATCCAGGAAACCACTCAAAACTCGATGCAAATACACGTAGCTGACGCGAAGCGCGGGGAAACGTGTGCTTTCTATTTTGAGCCCGTTTTGCATATTTTCGCGAGTTCTCATTGGTTCACTCGTCATTTTTGCTTGATTTTTAGTCGGTATAGTTAATGTGCTGTATATTTTCTCTTCAGGTTCGCTCTGGGATGAATGTGTTAGTTTGTGGTCCAAACGGATGTGGAAAGAGTTCGTTGTTTAGAATTCTAGGAGAGGTAAGATTGCTCAAAGAACGGTTTTCCGTTTCTGGGATAAACTCTGAAGATGACTTCCGCTCAGGTTGTCGAAACGTCAGTCACCAACAACAGTTCTCTTCAGAACTACCCTCACCCGGACGATCACACTATACGAACTTGGGTCCAAACCATTTACTATATAACCCAAATTGTTTTTAAGAACATGGCGTGCCATTAGTGTAAAGCTGTGCACTTTAGCGGATTTTTATTGTGAGTATCAAAAGATTTTCAAGCCTTTAGCGGAAGTCACGATTGAAAGTAGTCTTAAAGAACGTGGTCTTTAACTTGTAGCGTGACAACCTAAGACAGTGAACATGACGTGGCAAGCGTGACTTAAGTTGTTTTACCTTGGAGCGCGGTTTCGCGGCCGTTTATTGTTTAGTTGAATTCAAGAAAGGATTAGGCAGTGTTAGTGGAAAAATGTTCATTTATTAGTATGTCTCTTTCCTAATAGTTGTGGCCACTGTTTGGCGGTAAACTGGTGAAACCAAACAAGAGCAAGCTTTTCTACGTTCCACAGGTAAATATTTTCAAAGAAACGCTTAGAAACGCTCCAGAATCTTTCTTTGTCATTTCTGATAGCTTCTTGAAACTTTTGTTGTTAGTATAATTTTCAGTGAAGTGTGTCGACTTAACTTTGCTTTTACGGTATTGTACGCTTTAGTAACAACATTACATAGTATAAAATGTCCTAAAATTAACTCTCAGTTAATTTTTGAAATAAGCGTCTCTTTTAGCCACGTGTTGTAAGAACAATTTCACATTATCGAGTTATACCTAAGTTGAAAAGAGTTTTGTGTCTCGAGACGGATTGTCGCAAGACTCGAGTCGAGAAAGAGCACTTTTTGGGAATTTGCTTCGTAAAGGCCTTCCCAAAACGTTTATTATTGTTCGGAGAGAAACTGAATAAGATTTAAGAGTTAGAACAGTCCTCGAAAGATCATCGAAAGTCTTGCCATCAATGTGCTGAAAGGTAATCTTTACCCACGTCTTGGGCAGCCAAAACGAAGGAAAAGGAAAACTGAAATGGTTGTCACTGTGAAAAGAACGGTTTTTCGCGGATTACGTCTGATGACGTTGAAAAATCTTTGCATTTCACCTTGTTGCTTTTGGTTATGAGTATTGTTCTTTCTTGTCTTATAGCGTCCATATATGACCCTCGGGACATTACGGGATCAAGTGATATACCCCGACACTAAAGAAGACTTGCTCAGGAAAGGCCTCAGCGATCACGATCTTGAAGATTATCTCAACCAGGTAAGTGAAGCAGCCACGTTAATCCTTTAATCTTCGATGTTAACAATCTTTTGGAGCAGCCTAGGAGAGCTTAACCTCGTACGCGGTCGAGAAACGTGCGATCTGATTAGAAGTCCGAAAATATCGGACTTCCGGTTGAATTGCGCATGTCTGTCTGAGAAACACATGGCTCAATAGAGACGCTGGTGTTTTATTTCCGCTCGTTTCCATTGTTTTTAAAACCAATCAAAATCGAACCTGTGACGGAGCTTCGTTTCGTCAAGCATGCGCAGGAAGGAACGAAGACTCGAGGAACGAGATTGAGGAGAACTAATCGGAAGAGATACATGTAACATTTTACTGTGCGCCAAACTGTTGTGTCTTTGAAGGTTTTGTTGTCACTTTCTAACAACGTTTTGACAGCTGTTTGATTACTTTTGTTTTGAATTGGCCAATCAAATAGTAAGAACAGTGTGAGGCGCAGTTGTCAAGTTCCAAATTCGCTCTCTGACAATTGTCAACTCTGCCTCCTCCCTGTTCGTATTTAAATTGGCAATTGAAAAAGAAAGCGATAAGAAAGTTGTGTAGACGATGTCACAAAGTGGTCAAAGATTTATGAAAGATCTCGTGGTCAGCGGTAAAACGCGCAGAACTGTAACCAATCCACGATCCATACAGCGATATTATCACTGGAATTTACAGGGCCAAATCTCAGACGCACAGTCTCTCGAAAAGGGGAAAAGCCTAAACCGCTTTTTATCTCCGATGTGTTTTTGCGACTCATGTCTTTGGTAATGTGTGTTTCAGGTTCACCTTGGTAATATTCTTGAGCGAGAAGGCAGCTGGGACACAATTCAGGTATACTTATAGAAGCTGTAAATCTCTTTTCTTTTTTTATGAAATAAAGGTCTGGACAACGCATGGCGCCGCTTCGATAATTCACGCGCGGAAGCGAATCAGTTTAAGCGAAGCAGTGTTTCTGGGTATTTCTTTTAATATCACTGCGATAATAATGTTTTGGAAAATTTCAAAGATATGATTGTATTCTATAACTATTAAGCTTTCAGAAAATGATGGGGTTTTCTTTCAAAGCGCCAGCATAAGAGCGATTTCCAAACACTGTCAATCCACCTACCATGATACCTTAATAAGAGATTTATTACACGACCGAAACTAACCGAAAATCTTCAAGAGTAGTCTTGCCGGATCATTCGGGACAGCGCCCGGTCCAATTACTTAGCAAACATTGGACCGACATTAGAGGAATCTGATTGGTTGATTTTAGTTACTGCGCCCCTGACCTAACTGTCGTGTAATAGATATGGGTTATTGACTAAGCGTGAGGTCAAGTTGGCTGGATATTGGCGTGTTTACGGACCGAGACGGAGAACAAGACAGGACAAGCTTGGTCAATAAAGGATTTATTATAGGGGATAAAGAACACCACAAAATGACCTTCGGGAAAATTTTTCTTGCGGGGCACAGTGCGTGATCCTAAACGGGTAAGATAGCTCCATCTTGCCCGCTTGGGTAGCCAATCACAGCGTAGGATTTGGTTCATCTTGCCCGCTCGCGGAGCTAGCCATATGATAAAGCAGCTTCTTGCATCAGTTTGTATTTTTTAATATTATTATTATTTGTTTAGGACTGGATGGATGTTCTAAGTGGTGGCGAGAAACAAAGAATGGCTGTAAGTATATTGTAGGGATTTCTCCTCGTTTGTATGAGTTTGAACGCGTAACTAAGGATCATTTCGGTCAGGTCGAGGTTAGCATTATCGTTCTCTGTTTGAAGAAGGGCTAAGTTAAATATGTTCTCTTCTGCTGTGCTCTCAGTGAAGACAACCTGAAAAATATCGGATCCTCTTAGTAGTTTTTAGCCGCCGACCGGTTAGCTCAGTGGTAGAGCACTGGACTAGCGTGTGGGAGGTCGCGGGTTCAAACCCCGGCCGGACCAACACTCAGGGTCTTAAAATAATTGAGGAGAAAGTGCTGCCTTTGTAATGACATCTGCAAATGGTTAGACTTTCTAGTCTTCTCGGATAAGGACTATAAACCATAGGCCCTGTCTCACAACTCTTCATAATTAATTCTGTGGGACGTAAAAGAACCCACACACTGATCGAAAAGAGTAAGGGACGTAGTTCCCGGTGTGATGGTCTCTCTCTCATCTGATGGTTAAATGCTCGGAGATATCAGCTGCATAAGCTACTCTGAAATCCGAGGTTAAGTAAAGTAATGTATGTATGTATGCTGGACCTTTAAGAGGTGGCTTTGTTTTTATTCCCTTGTTGTAGTTGGTCTGAGATACTTTTACTCGAACCATAAGGTTGATTGGCGCTGTTTTTTATTACATTGTATTAGATGGCTCGTCTGTTCTACCATAAGCCTCAGTTTGCTATTCTTGATGAGTGTACAAGCGCTGTTAGCGTGGATGTGGAGGGCTTCATGTACACTCGTTGTAGAGAGGTAACTTAATTTAGTGCATAATGTAAGACTTAACAGTACAGTGGAACCCCGTTAATACGACCACCTTCGGGCCATGAAAAATTGGTCGCATTAACGGGGTGGTCGTATTAAAAGGGTTCTTTAAATAAGAAAATGACTGACGGAGCTTTTGTTCGGGCCAGAATAAAGTGACCGTAATAACGAGGTGGTCGTATTAACGGAGTGGTCGTAAGGCGGGGTTTCCACTGTACTTAGTTAAAGGAATTTGGGGAGCAGGGATGGCGCAGTGGTGAGAGCGCTCGCTTCCCACTAATGTGGCCCGGGTTCGATGCCGGTCAGGTGCTATAAGCGATTGAGTTTGTTGTTGGTTCTCGCCTTGCTCCAAGGGTTTTTCTCTGGGTTCTCCGGTTTTCCTCCCTCTACAAACGGAAAAACGCTCCAAATTCCAATTTGACCAAGATAGAGGACCTGCATGTAAACCAGCTACTACTGAGGCTTCAAAGGAATCTTGGTCAAGCTTGAAATCACTGGTCGCTTGTTCATATTGTGATCTATTTGCATACTCGCGATAGCTACTCATCGATGAAATGTAACCATCGTCATTAGGTTCCCAGTGATGCAGGTATATTGCTAACATTCTCGAAATTATGTTTTGGCAGAAATATTCGGCGATCAATGTCTAATGTATACATGTACGTTCTCTTTAACACGTTTAGGTTGGAATTACACTGTTCACTGTTTCACATCGCAAGTCGCTGTGGAAATACCACGAGGTTTGCATTCATATTGTTTTCATTTTATCTCGTCTACAGTTGTGTCAGATTATATTAGCCTTGTTAGTATCGACTCCTTTTCCAACGTATACCCTCCATGTGTTCTGTTACAAATGTGCGTCAAACTAAGGAAATTAACTTTTCTTTTAACGATTGTTCATGGAAGGAGCAATTCCCGCTTTTAATCATTTTCGTTGAGGCCGGCGCGAAGCTCTTCTACTGGCCCAGTGAATAAGCTGATGGTAGGCAAACTTTAATCATAAACTTCAAAGCGAGGTGACGCTTAGGGAGCGTGCATGGCGGTGTTTCTCTATATCTGATGCAGTTATGTCTTTATCTCCATTTCCTTAGTATGTCCTTTATATGGATGGACGAGGCTCTTACGAATACAAGCCAATTGATTCTGCAACTACAGAGTTTGGTTCTTAGAATGTTTCTTACCACTGGACTGGTGCCTTCAATTCTGATCTAGCGTTCATTTGATTGATCTTATTCTCCAATGCTACTACAATGGAAAAACAGAACGACTTAACCTACATCCCGTGAAACAACGTTCTACTCTTCACAAACACCATATTGGACGCCAAAACCTGTCCTGTTGTGAGACGCTCAGTACATTCAGCTATTACAACGGTGTTTTACAACATCACTTATGCTCACGGAAAAGTCTTCTTTACAAGTATAGTCTGGGCCTTATTTTCGAAAATTATTTACAGTGTAGCTTGTTTGAAAATAAGGATGTCACAATCGTTTCTCCCATGCACGTCGCTTTCAGCGACGGAAACCAAAGAAACCGGATGCTGTACGGACTGTATTCTAATGTAGTAAGAAGGCTTGTCGAACACACCTGGACTGAAAAAGAGACCTCGAAAGATTCTGCGTGAAGTCTTTCAGAACTCATGATATAAAGTGGTTTTTATGGATCAAGTATTTTTTAAATGCTATTGGAAGGACTTCGCACGCTGCAGGGATCAGCTGAGCAGAGCTGGTGCACGGTTTAATGATGGTTCGTTTTTAAGGATGTGTGGTAAATTCATGCCTTGTATTATCTTATTTACACATCAGCTCTCTGGAATTTCGCGGGTTAGAACTGCTCTTGCTTGGTCTTAAGGTCAACTGAGCTTTGTGGCTGGAGAAAAAGAAAATCAAGCAAACCATTTATATGTATGATAAAATATTTGACCATATTATCGCGGGTATTTGCAAAGTAACCTTCACACTGGTCTGAACAATCTACAGGAGGTGGCTCAGAGAAGGTGAAGACATATTTTAAATTCACACACAGCTTAATGTACTGTTTGTAACTTACAGGGACTCAAAAATAATTTTTGAAAGATTCACCGCTTGAATAACATATGGTATGGTAGTACTTTTCCAACACAGTTGTAACCTTCGTAATAAAAGAGGAAATTTCCCCTTTAAGAATACTACAGCGAATCCTCTCTGTAACGCCCCGTCCACCCCACGCCGGAGGAATTTGAAAACGCAACAATCACCGGTCATTTTGGAGTTGTGTTTGAGGAAAACTCGTTCAGGGAAATCACGTGACGCCATCGTTTTCGGATGTTTTTGTTTTCAAAACGTTTTCTGTCCACACAAACTCAAAGCTGACGTTTCCAAATCCTTCGGTTTGAAGGGCGTGATAGATTAGGGTGGACGGTAGGCCTAACCGTAGAAATAAAGCTGCCTTTTCAAATTCCGCCTGTTTGAAGAGCGTTTTCAAAAGGCTCCGTTTTCGTGACGGATTAGTGTGAAAGGTAGGCCTGACCGTAGGAATAAAGCTGCGTTTTCAAATTCCTCTGGCATAGAGTGGGCGGGGCGTAAATAACCCTCCATCGCCTCAAAACCCTGTGTTATAATTTCAAAGGGGAAATCGTACCTGCAACGGGATACTAACGGGATACTGGAGATGGAATAGTCGATACCCCAGGAGGGACTACATTAAGCAACGTACGATATATTGCTGGAGAAAAATGAGGGTTGAGGTAGCGATAGACTCTACATAAATGACGCTGTGATGACTTTCAAATGTATTCATAATCTTGTTCCAGACTACTTGATTGACAAATTCATTTTCCGATCTCAAATCGCTACAAGAAACACCAGACAGAGTAATGACTTAAACATTCCACGTTGCCTACTGGCTACCGGACAAAGATCATTTGCATATCGCGGAGCAAAAATCTGGAATGAGCTGAGTGATGATTTG